CTCTGGAGAGTGGTTAGTACTGTTTTGGCTTGTTATTGACTAGAGCCTCTCATTCTGAATTGGACCTTGGCGCTAGAGTGTCGGGGTCTAAGTGCGAGGTCGCGAGGGCGAGGGATCGGACCTAGCACTTTCGTCGGGTAGCGACCGTTGACTAGGTTGTCTTTTAGATAACCGTCTCGTTATCTTTGATGTATTCCTATACGGATACGTTAACAGAGATGATGATGAGGCTTACAAGCTGAATCTATGAGCCAAGGGAGCTTCATTCTCCTCTAAGATTCCAAAAACACCACAAGAACTTCAAAAACTCAACAATGGAGGCTATATCTGATTAGGGTTAGAGAGGAAGCTGTTGGAGGATAAGGGTGTGCAAACCCTAGATCCTACTTTCCTTAAATATGGCTTAAGGCCCGAACAATTAGGGCTTTTTCCTTCAGATGGTCGCCACGTCGTGGCCTAATACTTGCCACGCCGTGGGGCACAAAAATGATTTGCTATCATTTCATCAATGCCACGTCGTGGGGCATCTTTCCTACATCATGGCCATTGAATCCCATGCATTATTTTATGAATCAATTATAACTAGAATTTCAAATGTTACAGGGCCATGGAAATATTCAAACCATGCAATGTTAACTGCGTTTCACAAATTCCAACTTTGACCATTTTCCATTCCAACTTCAAACTGTCATAACTTCTTCGTTTCAAACCTATTCTCAGTGATCTTTATATCTATGTGAAGGTATTAACAATACCTAAAATTCTATCTAATTACTTTTGGCTTAATTCATGCGTATTAATCTATTAAGCCAAGCAAAAAGCTCAAAATACTAATTTTTCCTATTTCCTAATGCAACTTCAAAGATGCATATCTTCTTCATCTTATCTTTGTTTTCCACAAATATTATATCCACACGGAGGTGGGGATGAGTTCTACAACTCCATTAAGTCATTTAAGACCGAGTGCCTACGGGTCTTAATCCTTAGAGTCACAAACTTGCCACTAAAGGTATAAAATTCTCATTTTACCCTTTATGGTCTAATTGCAAAATCTCTTGCCTTTCTTCTCTTGAGCCAACTTATTTCATCTCATAAGAATGACTTAGACTTGTCTCGGCTAATTTCACGAAGCTACATCTTCATAAATTTCTGAAATTCATCTAAATGACCAAATTACACTTTTAGTCAATTATTCACTCAAAGTCAATTATTTGTAAATTTCGGGTTCTTACATGATACCCATATTAAGATATAAAGAAGAGAGATTGTGATTTTACTTGGGGCTCAAAGAGTCCTTCAAGGAAATCTGATACGTAGTAATCAGGACTAGTGAAGAGTCCTTGACCAATATTAACGAAAGTAGGACCTAATCTTGTGAAAGTATGTCTTAATTCAATAACTTAATTTATACTATTGGATACCAACTGACCTTGCGATTGGGTTATCTATAGCTTCAATCAAAACGAACCGGGTCACATAAGAATCTGAAGAGTCCTTCATAGCACATGAATTTGATTTTACTAACACCAAAATTAGAGAGATAAACAAGAACCTATAATATCAACTTGAAGGTCAGATTCTTAAAACCAAAAGAAGTTATTGGTGTCTGTCTAAGGTAAGGTCGTCACTTTCGTTAATTTGCATAACAGTTGAGTTCTATGAAAGTTGAATCAAATTGGGGAAACTTACCTTGAAGGGATGAGAAGCGTATTTTAATTTAAAAAGTTCAGGGTTGTAGATAGTGGCGTTGGCCGCCGTGCTAACTCTTTCAATTCAGCTTGAATATCATATGTTCTATTCTTGGAAGCCAGATGTATGAAGATGTTTCCTTAATGATGACAACATTGATATTATTATTACCTCTAAGGCCAACTCCAACCATAAACACTAAAAAAAACACAAAAATGGTGACATAAAATAGAGTTTTCATTCCAACCACACACTAAAATTTTACACAAATACTTATTTTAATAATATTATATTAAAAAAAATTCATTATTATTATATAATTCAATTTAACTTATTTATTATAATATTTAAATTATCAGTAATAACAATAATAATAATAATAGGGACGTTAACTAGTTAATTAATTGAATTGTATCAGATTTACTTAAATATATCTTATTATTTATGAAATATAAATATAATATTTTAATTATAAAAATTAGTTCGTTTGTATGAATAATTTTGATGCTTTAAGATAATTCATTTTTATAATACTATACATGTGATAATATATATGTGATAATAGGGTTAGATTATTGTATTCTAATTATTTATTGTGTGGATGTAGGATTAATTGTGGACCAATCATTTTAGTTATTTTAATAAAATCATTAGTAAATATTATTGAATTAAAAATAATTGAAAAATATCATCTAATTTCACTATAAGGGTATTTTAGTCAATTGAGATAACCTTAAAAAAGAAAATTTTCAGATTTTTTGGGATAATTAATTTTCTTTATTTTAAAAATTTATAAATTTTTAATTAATTCAATTTTAATTGTAACGTAATTTTTAATTATACCCAATTTTATTCTGGGAGAATGACATTATGTTAGAATGATATTCTATAAGAATGTGATGATACAAATTTATGACATAATACATATTTTGATTAAATGAACTTCTTTAAGAAAAACAACATTCTTGAACCATTAACTGGAAAATAACAAGATCATTGTATATTCGTGGAATGTATATTCATAAATATTATAATAGTCTTATACATTTTAATGTAATTATATATATTCTAAAAGAATTTCATAACAAATGAATAAAATTCTTAAAAAAATATCATTTTAAATATACAATCCTTGTAGTTGTGAGAATGAAAATAAAATACAATTAGAAATTAAAATACATCAAAATTCATTAAAATATCGAAAAAATCATAATAGTAAAAAAATTAGAATGCATTCTAATACGATGGATTTCATATTCTACCAGAATCCAGAATGCCCTTGAACTTCTATTGGAATCCAGAATGTGCTTGATATTCTTTTCGAATTCAAAATGCACTTAAGATAATTCCTTTTCTCAAGCTCATTTGATTCCAACCATAGAAAAAATCCACACCGCATGATCTTCTTTAAGAATACTGAATAAATGAACAAATTTGATTGTAATTAGAAAATTATAACAAGTGATTGAATAGATTATAAAATGTAATTATAATTAGTATTTTTTTATTGTTAAAGTTTAGGCTACTAATATTAGTTATGTAGACTGTAGAGAAACGGAAGGAATAATTTGTGCATATCATAACAAATTCGATTTCTTTACATACAATGTAACTAGATTGCAGATTATGAGTTGGCAAATTAATGTAAGTTCAAAGAATTTAACAACTAAAAAGATTGTACACTTCCAAAACAATAAAGCAATAAAAAAAATATCGATTGAAGCAAAGAGAAAAAAATATACTCCCACATAAGCAAAAAGAAAACTATATCCGTTTAATTTTCTGAATGATTATCAAAAAAATTATATGCAACAATATCAATCAATTTGGAAAACTAACGCATAAAGAAAGGAACCAAAAACAAAGTTCACTAGTAATTTAAACACAAACCCTAAGTATTAAACAGAACCCATGAAGGGGCCAATAAATCATTCACGTCATGTTTATTTGTGTCTTCATGAGTTTTAGTTCATGATGCATCAGCAAGAAAGACAAAGTGCATATCTAAATAGTTTAACGATTACCAGGTAATTGGCATATATCCAACAAATAATTATAAAAAAAAAATTAAAACACAAAGTACTGACTCCAAACAATTGATAAAGTGGAGTAACAAAAAATAACACCGATAGCCTACATGCACTGATTCAAGAAGTAATTACCATATACTATACTAATCCAACGAAATTATATCAAATAATTTAGGATTCACAAAATAAAAAGATAAAACAGATTAGGTTAAACTTCATTCGAGGGTTAAGAGGCGAATCAGTGAGGGTAGAGATATCAAAGTGGCAGAGAGAGAGAGAGAGAGAGAGAGAGAGAGAGAGAGAGAGAGAGAGAGAGAGAGAGAGAGAGAGAGAGAGAGAGAGAGAGAGAGAGAGAGAGAGAGAGATTTGTTAATCGACGAAAACTAGCGAGATGCGAGAAGCCAAGACTCAAGAGACAAAACTTTCAACTTTCAAATTAGTATCAGGAGGCCGACGGTAATACATGGAGAAAAAAGTGATGAGGCGAGGAGGAAGAAGAATAACGAGGCGCCTCTTAATTTTGTGGCGGAATGGGTGGTGGTTTTATAGGGATGGTTGTAGATAAACAAGATGGGAAATTAGGTTAAAAATCAATGCTAGCATGATTATAGGAGTATTTGTGGAAGTTATTAATCAAATTACTAAATGTGATAATCTTAAAACACTTCTACCTCTGCGATAATATATATATATATATATATATATATATATATATATATATATATATATATATATATATGATAATCTTATTGCATTTCTATTGAACTTAATATTGTCATATAATGAAAAAGCAAGTTTGGTGTTGGACAAGGGTCACCGCCATTTTTGGCGGCCAAAATCTTTCACACAATAATACCGGCCAATATAGCGGACAACGGGAACAACATTTGCTAGCATTCCAAATTTTAGTGGCCGGTTGGAGAAGCTGTAAGGCTCTAACCGAAGGTAAAGCGTGAGGTGTAGCACTGTAGCCTCCTCAGCCAATATCACAGATAATAGTTTCGCCGGTTCAATATTTATAGTGGGTGGTTTTTGTTGTCATCGTCGTCTGGTGTGTGTATATATATATATATATATATATATATATATATATATATATTATCCTAAATGTTTTAATAATAATTAACATAATTATTTAAGATAATTAAAATTATAAAAAAACAGATAAAATAATAAATAATTAACTATCTAAAAATATAAAATAAAGAGTTTATACTCATTTAATATTTAAACCGGATCAAAACCACATCCACAAAGTAATCCAATTTCTTTTACAAACACATGGACCAAATTTGCTGTTACACTTTATTTTATTCATATAATTGGTAAGTCACATCCAAATTTCAAATCGACGAAGCTTCAATTTTGAATGCTCTTAAACATTTATATAATTGGTATATGGTAACTCATTCAAATTTCAAATCGAGGAAGCTTAGATGATGGCGGGTTCGACCCGATTCCGTTGAAGGTTAGTTGTTAACTTTCTATAAAATAATCATTTCCATATTCTTCCAACAATTTCCATATTCTCTAAACATAAATTACAATTTCCACTTCCACTTTCACTGTGTTTTTACTGTTTTACGTGTTCAAATTTCTCAATTTGGATTAATCACACGATCTCCAGTTTCCAATCGATTACTTGAACCTTTTGCTTCCATCTTCAATTGTCAATAGCTGGATCAAAAGATGGCGCAGAGCTATGAAGAATTGCCGGAGGAAATCTGGGAGTTAATACTGGACGGATTGGGCGATGATCGACACTCAGAGTTGGAATCACTTTCACTCGTATGCAAACGATTATTGGCGTTAACTAATCGCCTCCGTCTCCGTTTCACCATTGTTGATCAGACGTATTTCATTCACGGTACCATTTCTCCCCTAATTCATCGATTTAGACACCTCAAAACCCTAGATCTCAGTAAATTAAAGCACGGTTATCTCGAAACCGCTCTTCACGAGGTCGCTCGTTCTTCTGTTGCCTTGAATTTGGAAATTCTTGATATCTCCAACCACGATTCGATACCAATTGAAGGTTTGAAAGAGTTGGGATTGAGTAACAGAAAAATCAAGGTGTTGAGATGCGCCAATGTGATCAAACTGCGGGATGAGGATTTGATCTCGATAGCAAAATTCCATCCAGATCTGGAAGAATTAGACGTCAGTTTTCCTCGTCATAAATTCACAATCTCTGCGTTTCGTAATCACAGTATAAGTGAACTTATGATCACCGATGAAGGAATTCAAGGTTTGTCATCCGGTCTCAAGAATCTGACCAAAATCAACATCTCCATGAACCATCTTCTTACAGACAACTCTCTTTCTTATCTATCTTTAAATTGCTTGCGCTTACAAGAGGTGTCATTCATAGACTGTACAATGATCACCATGGAAGGTGTTCGATTCATGTTGCACAAAAGCCCTAATATAACATCAATCTCCATGCGTCTCATCTCTAATCTCCATAGATATTCTTCACTTTTCATCAACCCTACTACCTCCGGGAAGACCTTAAGCAGTCTCCACTTCAAAGATTCCGATATTTCTTACGAATTCCTAGAAGCAATCACAAAATCCCAAATCCAATTAAAAAGCATCTCTCTTTCTAACTGCAAAGGTTACACCATAGATGGAATCTGGAACCTCCTATACAGATATCAATCTCTCGAGTTTCTCGATCTTTCCAAAAACGATTCCCTCAGTGACACCTCCATCACAGGCTTATCTCACTATCTCCATCATCTTATCACCATAAAGCTCAACTTCTGCAAGCTAACAAGTAAATCCCTGTTCACTCTCATCAAAAACTGTCCCTCTCTTGAAGACATTGAAATGAAAAACACAGATCTTGGTAAAGAAGAAGAAGAAGATACAGTTATGGGTATTGTAATTCACCCAAATTCAAGTATCAGGTTCTTGAATTTATCAGGAAATGCAAATTTAACAGACAAATGCCTAATCAAGATCGCATCCCTTTGCCCTAATTTAAAGCTTCTTGATGTGAGCTCATGTTCACGTATCACATCCTCCATAGATGAAGTCTTAAAGGTTTGTCCTGAAATTATCCATTTAGGGATTGAAGATTGTTTAGGGGTAAAAAACATAGGATTAAATAATGAGCCTTTGAGATTAAAGAAAGTGTATATGGGTAAATCAGGGGTGAATGATGAAGGATTGGTGGGGATTGGGGTGAGGTGTAATGAGCTTGTGAAGATAGACATGAGAGGGTGTTTTCATGTGACAACAAGCGCTGTAAAATATGTTGTTAAAAAATGTGAGAAATTGAAGGAGATTAATATGATGGGGTGTCCTAATTTACACGTGTATATGGTTGATTGGATGGTGTTTTCAAGGCCATCATTGAGGAAATTGGTCCCACCTTCTTATGCTGTTACTAGTGAACATCAACGCAAGCTTCTTTTGCGCCATGGATGCCAAATTTGTGATAAGTAGGTTAGGTTGCTGTTATTGGAGTTGATGTGGGTGTTTTGGTCATTTTGTTTGAAAATAAGTTCACTTGAAGTTGCATTTATATTTTGTATTCTTCTTGGTTTATTTTGTTTGTTTTGTAATTAGAATTTGTTTTGTTTGATTTGTAATTAGAATTTGTATTGTTTGTGTTGTAATTAGAATTTGTTTTGTTTGTTTGTAATTAGAATGACATGTAGATTGTGAAACAAATGTGTGCAATTTTAGATTTAGCTATGGAGAGCTTTTATTGTATATTTGTTAAGTGTAGTTAAAATTTAGAAAGCCCGTTTACCAAATCATAGTATTTTTGAACCTATTTCTCATATAATCGTATTTGCAATGGATGAAAAGTAAAAATATATATTTTTTAATATTTGTTTTTACTTATATAACATCAATATGCTTAGTCTGATTTTCTATTATAACTTTTATCACGTAATACTCGGTATAATATAGTGGCGGAGCTAGCTAGATGGGTGGGGTACAACATCTCCAAAATAAAATTTATATATTAAAATTACATATTAATTTTCTATATGTAAGCACCCATAACTATCTTATATTAATTTTGTCTTTATACAACATATATCGACATACGTGATATAATTTCGGTCTGAAAATCCATTTTTTATATTTAATATAAAATATATATTCTTTCATTTAAATCATTATAAAATACGTATTTCATACATCATACTGTTGAAATATTAAGTCCTAAAGAGGTTCGAATCCATAGAAAATTAATAAGTTGTATATCATTTTCAATTGAACAAGATACCCTAAATATCGCCTGATTTGGAAACTAATTACACATATTTTGATACAAAATATTAAATTCACTCAATTTTTATTTATTTATCCATGTAAAATCTTAAACGACTTTACATGACTTGTTTTGAATAAGGAATCATAAACATCCAACAATTGTATTGGTAAATGTTTTTTTTCTCAAAATGCCATAAATATTCTGATAAAACAAACTCATATTCTTATTTGTTAAAATTTGATAGTTATGCAAGTCTAGCAATATAAGGAAAAAACAAAAACAGTAAATCCCAACTATTTATATTTTTAATCTTAGACAAGTAATAATGAAATAACATACATAAAATTATTCAAAACATAAAAGTAGTCAATTACCTTTTTATGTAGCAGTACTGTAGCAAGGTGCTTGATCTTTGTAGTCAGTTGGGCCACTGAAAAATATGGTCAAAAAGTATAAACCAAATAACTTGCAACCACTAACCAAGTTCAATCTATATTCTGATAACAAAAAACACAAGAATCAATGTTGAAATATAACTTGATAAATGGTTAATAATGATGATCGCCTGAACTATTCTTCTACTTTTAATATCTGGAAATCTAAATTGGTATCTAAGGCAGATATCATGAAAGGATTCCCAATAATGCATTTTTAACTTTCTAATCAGAACAAATGAAATATCAAAGACAGATTATTAATTGTACATTCTAACTCTTCATAATCATTGATATCTCTCCTTCAAGAAGAGGAAACTAGAGAGTGTGATTGTAACTTTAATTGGTCATAGATTTCCTCTTGTGTATGCCACCATAACTTGACTTAATGCTTTTGTAATGAAACAAGAACACGTCATGTGATACCAAATTCAAGGGTTCCTCCATTTATAAGAACCAAAAAGTAAATTGTTACTGAAAACTTCTGTTAACAGAAGTAAGAATTGAGTTCAATAGGCATAAAGAAAGTGAGAATCGAATAAGCCATAGAAATGAAATGCATATACGTGCATTCTTTTTGGTTTAATAAGGCTCTCAATTTCATGTGTTATTCGAAGACATTTTTCAGAATTACAAGTACAAGGTGTTAATTAAGGGGAAAGGATGAAGAGTCAGAGTTCACGATTGTAGATTTTTCTCTTTTCAATCCAAACGACATCGTGAATCTTCTAAAAATTGTAGCATCAATGGATCAAATAGTCCTATCATCAATGGATCGTGTAGTTGTCACTGCTGCTTTTAAGCATGTTAGAACATTCATGGTTTTCTATTATCATGCTAATAAAAAAGAAGTTTCTTTCACAACTCTACAAAGTATTTTGATTAGAGTTACCACGCTTGATTCTAATTTAGTGAAAGACTGAAAAATAGATTATGGACTATCTGGCTTTGTGGATAGCTGTTTAGAAATCGTTGTTAAGTGTTGCTGATTTGTTATTTGATTGAAGACTTTGTTGGGTAATCTTGATGGGTTAAGCTGGGTCATGGGTACGGGTTCGAATGGGTCGGTTTCAGTTTCCTTATGCACAAGTTGGATAGGTCAGACTTAGTCTAATAATGACCTGGTTTGAAGGGGTTTCAAAAACGTGGACTTAGTAGTCCTATATTTGTGGTTCTTAGCTGATAGTTTTTTTTTCCTGTTTCTTAGCATGTTTACTAGTATAAGTAGAGTAGAATTTCTTCCAGTTGTATGTATGTATTTTCTGTTTTCTATGAAAGAGATAATCCAGAAAAGTGGTGTGTGCATGATTGTTTTCTTGGGTCTGGACCATAAGATCTTATGGGACTTGTCACAACGGGTGAGAATGTTGAGACATAGTTTTTTTATGACAGTCTGAAGCTTTGTTGTTTATATCTGAAGTGGTCTTTCACAATCCGTATAGAAGTGAAGTTTTAATGTTTGTATTTGAAGTAGTTCGTAGATCATATTATACTCCATGTGATAATCTAATCCGAAGGAGTATAATATGCTCTACGAACTACTTCAAATACAAACATCAAAACTTCACTTCTATACAAATTAGTGTGAGCAGTCTGTATGTCTCATCATGTGTTCATGCCCATGTGTCAATATATATATATATATATATATATATATATAGAGAGAGAGAGAGAGAGAGGAATGATCATTTTGAGAACCTAAAGTTTTCCGAGAACCCGAGAACTAAAAGTGGAACGTTAGATTAAAACTTTTAATGACCTAGATCAAACATGACATATTTGTAATTATTAACAATTTCAATGGTAACATTGACTTTTTACAATAAATTACAAGGGTAGTTAAGGGATACAAATGAACATACATAATAATTAATCAAAATTAAATTTGAAAATACAACTCTCTCGCCGTCATTCTTTCTCCTTCATGTTCATCTTCATTCCATGAAATCGCCGAATCTCACCTCTTCATCCCAAATTTTGAGATGAAATCACCGAATCTCGTCGCATTCTTATTGTCGTCTTCAGTCGCCGGAGTGTATCACCTCCACCTTTACTCCTCCACACTCCTGTGAATCACCAATTGTCTCATTGCCGTTGATTTTCTCTAAAAAAAATTATTCATTGCTCCTCCACACTCATGTGAATCACCAATTTTTGATCTCTGACTCATATCCGTTCATCTATTTACATCTCCACCTCATTTAATCTCATCAACGGCGACGAGCGGCGTATTTCAGTGGCTTGTGTGGATGACTTTTAGGGAGAAGACCATCATGTATGTAAAAGGAGGAGAGGTTTAGATATCAAAGCCATTAAAACCACGGGTGCTTGAAAGGAGACCGAAGTTGAAGTCGACAAGCCTTTTGGCCTCACTTTAGGTCCTAAACCTAGTACTGGTGGTGGCGTTGTTATCACTGTGCAATTGAGGCGTCCAAACCAAACGAATCCTTTTCAATGACTTTGTGGAAGAATCATCGGCTCACAAAGCAGAGTCATCTTCCTCTCCAGCTCCGCCGCTAGCGCGGCCGCTATCAACTCTCCCTAATATCCTCGAATCAGAACTGTCTGGAGTCAGATCGACGGTCTCATCGCCTTCCACAACCATTTCTTCCTCTCTATCATCACTAAACGACTTAAAATCAGTAAGTTTATTCACATGATTTTGTTGTGATTGCCCTTGGAGACTTAAAATAAACTGTAGCAGCTTCAGGTCTCGTTGTCGTTCTGTAGCAGGTGACTATGAAAGCACTTTCTTACAATCTCAATTAATCGCATCATAATCTGTTCTTTGTTCATTAATAGGTGATTGAAATTTTAGCTATTTCAGTTACTCATGTTCAGTTTTATATTTCAATTAGGCTAGTACATAGTCCCACACGTTCTTTTATCATGTCCAGAATGATGAAGAAAACTTTATGCACATTGGGAAATACTTGAATCCTCGAAGATTACTTCCTTAGTTCCTCTATGTTATCCAAATTATAAACGTAAATTTTTATTGCATGATGCTATCTAATCCTGATTCCTAAAGGATAAGCTATGAACAAACTTGAATATTCAATTGTGACAATTTTAAATTGAGTGGTGATGATCCCCTTGTGCATAACTTTCTGACTTGTTGACGCTAGATTGTAAGCCATCTCTGTTCTTGCAGAGTTGTTTTAGGTGGTATATTCCTTGAAACAAAGTTTTGATCTTGCTAGTTGTAACGACCCAAATTTCCAAAAGAATTTTTTTCAATTTTAATTAATCAAACCATTTCCGTAAACCATGAAATCCCAAAACAATTGTTTTCAAATCCACATCCATTACAACTTTATTTAAAAACATCAGAGTGTCCCATAAAATGTTGGTGAGAGAGTGCACGCCGCGCCATCACGTCTTGCCCTTGACCTTGGGCTCAGATGTACCTGAAGCAAATCCACACTGTAAGCTAATGCTTAGTGAGTCCCCCAGAGCATACCCCACACACATAAACCACATAACACATATCAGATTAGCTATAAAGCTACACATATCACATAAGTCATGCATACAACATATAAGGAAGCCCTAGAAACCCTCCAATGTCTTACACCTAATGCCACTGGAACCCCCACCTGGTCTTATCTTCCATGGGAACCCCCACATGGTCTTCCTGCCTTGGGAACCCCCACAAGGTCTTCCTACCTTGGGAAACCCCACAAGGTCTTCCTGCCTTGGGAACCCTCACAAGGTCTTCCTACCAAACAAGACATAATGCAAACTATACAAGCAGATATACTAGGATGCCATGGAAACTGTGACATCCCCATTTTTACGGCCAGAAAAGACCGATTTAGTTTATGCTTTTTAATAAAAATCAGAGTAACTTTTTAAGAAAAGTGTTGCGGAATTTTGTTCCCAGAAAAACATGATAAATATGTTATCAAAGCATTTCCGAAGAAATGTCTTTTATTCCTTTTAAAACCTTGGGATGTCAACGTCAATACAGAAACATAAACATAAACAGAACTTACATTCATTTACACTAGTGA